AATATGTTTAGAATCTAAAAACCAAACATCAGGTTGTAGGGAATGTTGTTGTTTTTGTAACTCCATGTAATTATTGTTCATATAAATTGTTCTGGTAAATTGTGGTTTTGATGTTTCTTCTTTTGTTTGTAGTATATTCAGTTCATTCAAAGATCACGATCGCTCTTTAGTGGATGAAAAAAGAGAAGATCTATCTTCTGCCATATCCAACGAAAGCCTAAATGAGAAAGAACGCCACCTGACGGAGATGATTCAGCAGCTACAGGCACTCCGGGAACAACTGGTAGCTCAGCAACGACACCAGAGCAAGGTAAGTTACCACAGAATTCAATTCAAGGTTTCACGTGGAATTATTATAATGTTGGTATTTGTATTATCAATACATGAGCCAATGGGACCAGCCGCCTACACCACTACTATTAACTAAGTAGTGAGATTGATTCTCACGTATGTGACGTTCCCATTTAGGATGCTTCCTCGGCTGTTCAGCTATTTTGCACCACCCTGCTTGTGTGTTTGATACATTTATTCAGTCCAGTCCACTTGCCTTAACTAGACGTCAGTGTCGTTTGAGCACAGTTATATTTACATGATGAATTTATTTAAAACTTGTACTTGTTTTTTGTTTTGTTTTTCAACTAAATATCTCTAACGTGCTCAATTTATAAGGTGGATAGATATCAAGATATACCAGACGTACTTGCGCAGGGTCCCCGAAAGTGTTCTGATTCAAGAGTAAATAACACCAAAATTAAGAATAACAAATATGTTGTAGCCTACAGAGTGCATAATTTTTCTCGTAATTCATGGCATGCGCACGACAGTACAAATTGCAACGTTACGCGTCTCTTATGTGACGTCATTTTAGTGTCTACTGACTGATAGACAGACAACACATTACTGTATAGTGGTGCGAGTGGTTAAAACAGGTGACCCCTCCAGGCTGCCTTCGAACCCCTTTAACGGGGAAATTATTTATTTCAGTAAAAACGTGATGAGCAAGCAACACAAACAGCTAGATTGTTACATACGTACAAAAACAACAATTAAAAAATATGCAGTCTGCAATTCCATTACATCTCTGGTTAGTTTCAAAACAATATAAAGAATCCTTAGTCACTTTGTGTTGTGACTTATTTAAATTAAAATATCAAACCATAGAGAGCTGGGCGTGGCTTGATATTTAACGTGCTCGAACTACGTATTCGAGGTTCATGGTTCGTATTCCGTTGTCGCGACACATGCTCTCTCTCTACACTAGAGAGCCATGAGTGCACTATAAGAGTGATGGTCAAATCCCACAGATCGGTCAGATTAGAATAGTCCAATAGTCCCTCTGTTAGTTCCAATTGAGACGACTATGGACATAGTATCTAGCACTTCATGAAGCTTTGCGCGAAAATTGTGAAACAAACAGACAAGTTATAACCCGAAGTCTTATGTCCGACAGCTGGACAATTACTCTCTGATAAAACAACATCGTAATGCTAGAAACACCACAATAAAAAAAAACGATTCTAGGGATGTTTGTCATATAAGAATGTTAATATCATAAACGTTTGTCATTAGAAAATAACTGTGAAAGCGATTTACTAGAGTTTTAACGGAGACCTTCCTCGATACATGAGAAAAAAGCCTCGACATCTAGCGATGGAAATATAAACTAGATGAAACACAGGTAGTTTTTGAAGTTCGTCTTACGTATCTTTGCATAATGTACTTGTTTAAGTATATGTCATCACAGTCACAAAATCCTACTTATCTTTGTAGAATTTGTTACTTTGCTTATTCAGTATCACGTGCATAGTATACTAGTTTTCTAGTGGTATTGTTTCATCCAGAAGTATTATTCAGATAATATAAAAAACAGATTTAATAATCCATAAGTTTAGCATGTTTATTGTACCATCAAAATAGTCAACAGATTTCACAAGATACATATGTGAATGACAGATCCGGAGTTTTTGTTTTTCCCCAAAAACACGTGAAATACAGAAAAATATGTCACGAAGTGGTTAATCCATAAAACTCCCCCCAAACAGTGTTAAATTGCATAAACTTCTGGAGAAAAGAAATTATTAAAAATCAAACATTACAGGTTCACACAGATTTACATATATATTGAGGTACATTGAGTGAGTCTAGAACTCAAACAATATTTGGAAGATCTTACTTTATTGTAGTATAACTAGCACTCAAACTTTAAAGGTTCACGTTTTCTGGTTCATCTAGTACTCTAATAATACCTACAAAACCGCGTCTTGTTCTTTATCTAACACTCAAACAATGCTTTAAAAGTCCACGTCTTGTCCATCTAGTGCTCTAATAATACTTACAAAACCGCGTCTTGCAAAGCATTGTTTGAGTGTTAGATAAAGAAAAGGTCCACGTCTTGTCCATCTAGTACTCTAACACTACTTACAGAACCACGTCCTGTTCTTTATCTGACACTCAAGTTATGATTCTAGAATTAACATGCCATGTTGTTCTTCTAACACTCAAACAATACTTTAAAAATCCACATCTTATTCATCTAGTGCTGTTACAGTACGTACAAAATCACGTCTTGTTTTTCATCTTACATCAAACAATACTTACAATGTCGTATTGTCCCTCTAGCGTTCAAACAATGCTTAGAGAACCACGTTTTGTTGTTTATCTAACTCTCAAAAAAATGCTTTCAGTTTTTGTTTGTTTCAGCGCAAATCCATGCAATGGGCTACCTGTCTTCTGCTCACGTGGGTAATCGAACCCCGAATTTTAACTTTGTAATTCCATAAACCTAACAATCAAACATTACTTACAGAATTCACATCTTGTTGTTCACCTAGCAACCAAACAATACTTACAGAATCCACGTCTTGTTGTTCACCTAGCAACCAAACATTACTTACAGCATCCACGTCTTGTTGTTCACCTAGCAACCAAACATTACTTACAGAATGCATATATAACTTGTTGTTCACCTAGCAACCAAACATTACTTACAGAATGCATATATAACTTGTTGTTCATTCAGTACTCTAAGTCTCTTCCCTTTATTTTTCATAACATACTTAGAAACATAAAATATGATATCATATACAATACTGAAAACACAAATCCTTAACAGCTTAAATTGGACCGCTATATCTTAATATTCCATAACAGGCCTCATCACGCCTGTCATGCAATTATCCAATGTTGGCACTTTAAATTAAATTAATGAGGGCACCGAGTTCAATAACCGCCACAAAGAATCAACACAACCAACTGTGGATATCTAGCTCTTGACACTTGTATTTTCTATTCCCGATTATTTTTTAGCACGTATCAGTGCAGATTGCGATAGATTAAAATCACCCAATGTTCAACGGAGCTCGACTCTATTGCTTTGAACACACTTAAGGGTTGATTTTCCTCCCTACAAAAACGGACTGTGGTGGAGGAATTCTTATTTTCATAGTAAGATATAATTAATAGTGAAAACATGGTTACAAATTCACGTAAGATTAAGAATCTTTTTTTGATGACATTATCGCGAAACTTTCATTGGATCTTCTATGTATTATCTTAAGGCAAATATGAATTTCACCATGTTTATTTATTGAGTTCTTATTATTGGATTTTGAATAAGAAAGAGCAACTGATGTTTGTGAATTTGTGGTACCTCCTTAAAGTCCAGTTTATTGTACCTTCTTAATGTCCAGTTTGTTACATCTACTTAAGGTCTAATTTGTTGTATGCCCTTAACATCCAGGTTGTTTTATTTTCTTAAGATCCAGTTTTTTTATAGTACTTCCTTACGTTTAATATTAACATCCAGGCTACTTTACCTCGTTAAGATTCAGTTTTTACGTTTTTTTTTTTTGTTTTTTTTGTATCTCCTTAAGTTCAACATTACCAAATATGTATGGATTCCTAGTGAAAAATAGCTGACATGTAAGATTTGTATGATTAGATTTGCAAAAACCATGTTAATATTCACCTTCCTAGCCTTGTCCCCTTTGTGGCACAGCGGTATGTCTGCGGGCTTACAACGCTAGAATACGGGTTTCGATCCCCGTGATGGGCAGAGCACAGATAGCCCATTGTATAGTTTTGTGGTTAATGACAAAACAAACCCTAACCTTGGATGTGGTTAACGTTCTTGGAACCTGAATATCACAACGTGTTGCCCCCTGGTAGATTTTTTTCCCGCACCATTGCCATTGATTAATATAAATACCATTTCTTGAGGAAATGTCCCATTTTCTAAGTAGTTCCACTTTTGTAGGATTCTCATAATAGATTATTTCGAATTGGTTAAATTTAGTAGAACTTGACCTAGTTTGGCTTTTTTGGCTATTTAAGATCCAGTTTAAAGTCCACTTTGTTACATATCTCCTTTAGATCAGGTTTTTTACCTCTTTGAGGTTTAGTCTGTTATAATTTATTAAGGTCTACTTTGTTGTGCCCTCCTTAAGATCCAGTTTGTGGTATTTCCTTAAAGTCCAGTTTGTAGTATTCCCATAAGGTCCAGTTTATTATACCTTCTTAAGCTCTAGTTTGTACTTCATTAAGATCCTGTTTGCAGTATTTCCTTAAAGTCCAATTTGTGGTACCTCCTTAAGGTCTAGTTTGATGTACCTTCTTAATGTCCAGTTTGTTACATCTACTTAAGGTCTAATTTGTTGTATGCCCTTAACATCCAGGTTGTTTTATTTTCTGAAGATCCGGTTTTTTTATAGTACTTCCTTACGTTTAATATTAACAACCAGGCTACTTTACCTCGTTAAGATTCAGTTTTTACGTGTTTTTTTTTTTGTTTGTATTTCCTTAAGTTCAACATTACCAAATATGTATGGATTTCTAGTAAAAAATAGCTGACATATTGTTAGAACTGTGAAAAATAGCTGCCATATTGTTAGAACTGTGAAAAATAGCTGACATATTGTTAGAATTGTGAAAAATAGCTGACTATTGTTAGAATTGTGAAAAATAGCTGACATATTGTTAGAACTGTGAAAAATAGCTGACATATTGTTAGAATTGTGAAAAATAGCTGACATATTGTTAGAATTGTGAAAAATAGCTGACATATTGTTAGAACTGTGAAAAATAGCTGACATATTGTTAGAACTGTGAAAAATAGCTGACATATTGTTAGAATTGTGAAAAATAGTTGACATGTTGTTAGAACTGTGAAAAATAGCTGACATATTGTTAGAATTTCATTTGTACTATATCCCTGGAGCTGATTGCTCGTGTAATATTTTTGTCTTCCATAAATTTGCCAAATAACAAGAAATGTTAACTGTATCTTTCCCTCCTTTTTTTTGGTTAATTATA